TCGCGACCCTTGGCCGCCTAACCAAGTGCCCGGATGCCGACTGTAACTGAAAACATCGCCCGAATACTCGATGATCTCTGCGGACAATGATACCAAATGCACGGAGCCATTTCGTCGACCACCTGATCTCGGAAAGTGTCTTCAAGCTTAATAACATTTGTAGTGAGCGCTGCATCTTCCAAAATAGAACTGTCCACTTGGTGGTCATTTCCGTCAATCTGTCAGGTTTCAAGCTGTGGCGCAACTGAAAGGCGGTATTCTCGGCTCGGTGCCCTTTGCGTGCTTGCCCTGCCCGCGAAAGGCATGTTTCTATGCGTCCACAGATTTTAGCCCATATGAGGACTGTCCGAAGTATTCTCGGTATCAGGGTAATTCAGCTGTGACAAAGGAGTTTGAATCATTCCGAAAGGTAACGAACAGGGTCTGTGAGGGTATGAATACAAAATTTTATTTAGTTATCATCAATGCTATTCTAGCTATCCTTGGGGAAAGAAAGACCAGAATGACTGGTGCGAAAATGTTGAAAAAATGGCTTACTGATTAGAGAAAAAAAAACTGGAAATGAAAAGAAATTTGAGAAAACGAGAAGGAAATTAAGAAAATTAAGAAAATGATCAGCTATTACTTCTTGTTCCCCATACGAAAAAAAACATATTTTCGTGGAAGGCGTTTTCTGACAACAAGCATTTTGGGACAAGGAGGTCAAATACTTTCAGATGGTACTGAAAAGTTAGTCTCCCGAGCGAACAAGGTGTGTTGAGGTTATGGGGGACTATGTACACTGGAAAAAAATTCTCATCAGAATTTTCTCCCTTTTTCATTATTCCTATACAGTGAATTCATTGAACACCCCAATGTACTTCATTCGTTCAAAAGTGAGCAGACATATTGATTTTTGGATATTTTTTAATTTTATAATTGCGTGCCCATGTGTACATTATTACTTTCGCATCAGTTCTCCTTCCTCGCCATTATTCGATCCGGCTGATTTGACCAGTTTATAATTTCTTTCATTTTTATTATCCAACTATAAAAGGTTGAGTTTTGAATTAGCAGATATCAAAAGGAATTCTCTGAATATATTTCTGCACTATGGCATAAGGGGTCAGAGTGATGTGCGCAAGTGCGTGTAGACCTTCAGGACATTTGAACATGGCAAGGAATTGGTTACTCGTGGAATATTCCAGTCTGGGACAACTGTCATCTTGTTCTGTGTTGGACAGAGACACGACAACAATTGTGTCAAGATGAAATCTCACCAGAAGCATAAATAAACCTTCAGGTTAAGTTTGAAGCACGCAGCCACGCCTACCCGATCTGAGGGGATTTCGAGTATAGGTATGAAGGAAAGAGCCGGAAATTGTGAATGAAATATATTTTTCATTGTAGCAGCCTCCATAACCTCATACGATTTTCTTGCTCTTGGGGATGTATATTTTGCATACGGTTCTAAAATTATTGTCTTTCTTGTTCCCAAGAATTGTGCCGTTAATTCGCAGCCTTCGCTCTTCTCGTCAAATATACGCTTCTCACGAAGGTCTTTGTTTAGGTTGAGGAACAAGAAGTAATCACTAATCATTCTTCTTAATTTTTTCCTATTTTTCTGAGTTTTTTTATCAGTAATTATTTTCTCAACATTGTCCCATCAGTCATTCATAGATGGGAACTAAATGGCACGTGTAGATGGTAACTAAATGTTCAGTGCCTATTCCAATTCATCTAAATTCCTTCGTCATTGCTAAATCACACCCGATACGAGAGCTTACTTCTGAACCGAGGTCCCGTGCTTGAATTTCTCTCCCCGAACATCTTCTGACCACAACATTTAGTTCGATTGGTATTCATCATAATAGCCGACTCCTTTCCAGAAAATTAGAAGCACTGGCCGTGCCGACCGTATTTGGTGTTACAGATTATTTTGGTGACGGACCGTAAGGCTTCCATTACCCACTTTCAACTCATAGACCGCCTGACTTCGAGCTGGCAATTGAGAGCTAAAAAAATAGTTCGTAGTTTACAGCTATTGATCCATTCACCTCAGAACAATATCCTTTTATGGAATCTCTGACGGTCATTCATATTTTGCCATTTCACAGTGCGAAACACGATCTATGAGAATATCGTTAGACTTGTGTTGTTCTCAGTTACTGTAAGATACTCTATTGGGAATTCGTTGGAACTAAGGATGACTAGAACGCAACAAATGCAATTTTGAATATGTGAATCTCTTTCAGATGATATTAAGCCTTCTATGGAAATTCTCATGGCAGTTGATTGTGCTAGGAGTCGCTACTGTAAGCCGTTTTATAGTACAGTTGATTGAGGTGGTTGCGAAAAAAAAATGGAATGGGCCCACTTGCGGCGTTTCCTCCATTGGTTGCTTTTTCCCTATACTGATCGTTGGCTGAGCGCCATTGGCATAGCAAGCCAACAGGAGGCGGGCTCATAGCGCCCTTGTCATACCCCTCCCCCCTCCCGACTGATTGTGGCGTTTTCTATTATACGTGGACATATTCGTTGAAGAATGCCTAATGATAGTAAAAGGCAAATGCATTTGGGCGAGCGGCATATAATTCTGGTATTCTAATTCTAAACCGGGTGGTACTAACCACGGGCGAAAAAGTATGCCAAAGCACCCCCTCCAATAGCGGTTCCTACCTGTTGCGGGGCGCTTCTGTACTCCTTATCCCTGAGCCAGAGTAGGCGTGGCATTTGAACATGGCACGGAACTGGTTACTCGTGGAATATTCCAGTCTGGGACAACTGTCATCTTGTTCTGTGTTGGACAGAGACACGACAACAATTGTGTCAAGATGAAAATATCTCACCAGAAGCATAGACACCTTCAGGTTAAGTTGAAACATGCGGCCACGCCTACCCGATCTCAGGGATTTCGAGTATATGTCAGCTCGCTGTCTCCTCTCATGAGATCAGCGCCAAAAGTAAAAATGAAGCAAACAATTCATGCGGATATAGTTTAAAAATCACCAGTAGGTTCTGTGTTAAACATAGCGGTACGCATAACTAAACTGCTGTATAATTCTCTTCAGTACATTGGCATATTCTACACTAACAGTTCCAAGAAAAACACTGCTTCAAAAGTCGCCTTGAGTGAAGCGAGGGAAACCCAGGAGATTATAAATTTCATACTCAAGAAGGTAAGCAAATGTTTATGATGCAGGCATAACGGAATTCATTCACCGATGGTTTCTAAGAAACGGCGATTGATGGAAACATATTGCGAGGACTCATCAGACTTGTGCTTTGCTATTGAAGATCGACCACTCATGAAAGATAACAAGTAAGACTCATCACAAAATTAAATCGCAGTATCAGATACATATTGACAGAGAGAAAAGCACAGGGGGCCTTTCAGTCTTTCCTTGAAAGGTCCATTCTATACGAAGAACACGGAGCGGCTTATGCACTTATTTTCAGAAGTATTTAAAGACAGCCCCCGCGCTCAAGTAGTACATGGTCATCCTTCCTTGTGCAAGTAGTACAGCCCCCAAGCTAGAAACTATCCCACTCTCGCGACTCCACAGCGAGCGAGGAGCGAGCTACAGCCGCTCAAAGTTCTAGTTCTAACGCCCGCTCAGTTGGACCGCCCACTTGCTAGATGCCCTCTGACGGAGAGCCGCTCAGTTGTTCTTTGTTGGGACGGCGGGCATTAATCGGCATTCATGTCCTTTTCGCTGACCACGCTCGTGCCCATAAATAATTCTGCTTTCCTTTATTACATTTTATTCATTAGCAGCACATACAGTCAACTTCATCCCATCTCGCAAGGTAAAACGCGTAAAAATCACGAGCGACCCAATTTTCGTGGTGCAAAAGCTGAGGTCAACCAGACGTGCTCTCGCTGCGAGGGTCCAGGGTTATTTTCACGAGGCATCTACCAGTCCAGTAGTTGAAGGGAGAAGGTAAAGGAGGAGGGATCAGAGAAGGAAGGAAGGAAAAGAAGGAGGGAGGAAGAAAAAAGGAAAGAGAGGAGAGGCTTCTCGGTTGACAAGTGCCGTGAGCTCTACGCAACACTACACTAAAACATGCACGCTGCCGTAACCCTTGAGTCGGACGCTAGGTTTTTAAAAGTTTATTTTCCTTTTCAGAAGTGGTATATAGGTATATGGGGGAGTACTCTCTCGTACCAGTGCCGCCATTTTACACAATGCTGTACCCTGGTGCTTCAGCGTTGCTTGGTGAGCCTCGCGTAGGCGCGCTCAAAGTAACTTAGCAGAAGACAAAATTTTCTCGGACGTTCGCGCCCAAGGGAAATCGGTCAACAATGTGTCATTGAAATCATATGAAACATTGAGTCCAGTTCCAGTTTTTCAGTTTAACTGTGGGACGCTATCTGAAGTACAAGGAAGCTCTTCAAAACCTCACTCTCAGCGTAGTTGAGCTGGAAACACCAAACAGTAAGTCCGTTGAAAATTGCAATCGAACCAACAAAATTGACAAATAAGGTTCAGTCTAATCATAGCCATCATCGAAGAACTGAATGAAGCAGCAGATATCCTAATAAAATCTAGGTCGATGATGTACCAATTCTTTAAGATTCTTGCAAGAGGGGGATCATGAGTGAAAATGTCTCTGGAACTCATGGGAAGCTGAAACTCACAACTCAATTTTCATATGACTAAATACAATGTTGTTTACTGGCGATGCTGAGGCCTATTGGACGGACTGCTTTGAGCGCGGTGCCAGCCCGTTTTCCACCAGTTATGGTGTCTTTCCAGTGTCGACAACTGGTGGGAAAGGGATTGGCGCGGCGGCAAGCGCCTCACTCTTCCCCCGTTGACACGCCCCGGCATCCGCAGCGACAAGACTAGCTCGAACGCAACATTTTCATTCTTGGATTATTCAAACTGATATAAGCTCGTTTTATTTTCTTTCAGTCATGACCACTATCATCTGTTATAGAACTCACTTGGAGTAATTTCAACACACAACAATGGTCCATTAACAAATTAGTGATTCAATTCCCATATTTGAAATTGATGATTGCAATGGGTTTCGTGATGGAGGTAACTTAACTGAATCTTGCCGATACCTGTTTATAGAATATTCTTCTTCATTATTAGTCCTCTTTTTTTGCAGGGACTACAGTTTGATCCACAGCATTGGCAAAACGTACTGGTGATCGGCTTAGGAGGTGGAACTGTGTGCAACTTTTTCGGTGCTGCCAAGTCCCTAAGGGTTCGTGCCTCATGAGCACTTCTCAAAATTATATCTCACACGGTGGACGACCACTTCTATAAAGCCCATCGCATAGGCTCCATTCGCACTCTTCTATCCTTACAACAATGTGAACTCATGGACTAACAGCGTCATATAAACCTGCCGTTAACACTCCAGGTGAACCTCACAACAGTTGAGTTGGACCCACTCATGGTGACAATAGCGAATGAATGGTTTGGGCTACATGAAACGCCAGTTAACACTGTTATTGTTGAGGACGGAGTAAAATTCCTTCATGAAGCTGCTGAGCGAGGTCGGCGAATTTCTATCATGTTATCAATTAAATTCTTGAAGAACTCATCACAAGAAGGTCGAATTGCGGGCATGCAAAGGTCAAATATCGTTATGGTCCAGACATTACCTCCCCCCACTAGAGTCTTTATAGCGCGTGGTAACGATAGTTGTTGAGTTGAGTTCCCTGAGATCAACGCTTCACGCACGAGCAGTGGTTCTTTCACTGAGGTCAGCGGAAGCAGCACCAGAAAACGGCAGGATACCGCGAGCAGAAAAAGAGACAAACCTGCTCATGACTGAAATAGGACGATTCTAAAAGCGGCTCTGAAGGGTCTGGGCGAAATGGAGTCGCCCTGCCCAATGGCTCTATTCACCTTAATGATGACCTCCTTATAGAAGAGTGGCATCCTGATCGTAAAGTTGCTGTTAAGCTCAAGAAAAATCTTCGCTTACGGGTGGGGGCGCTCTGGTTGCCCAGGGCTTCGATAATCGAAAGCCTTCAAGCTGATGAAGGTGAGACATTACGATATCTCATGCCCTCGCGACACTTCACTGAGGTTCGCTTACACTGTGGAAGTGGTCGATCGTGCTGAATCCTCTTCGAAACCCTGCTTGCTCGCATTTCTGTCCTTCATCTAGTGCTCTGCCAATCTTGTCTAGGGAGAATCGTGCGAAGAGCTGGGAGATTACGGACAGCAGGCATTGGCTGAATGCGGTTAAGTGAAGTGAATCTTAGTTTCCTCACTTCCTCACAGCAGAACAGACCCGCTGTTCTCAGCTGATTGTTCGTTATCACCCACAAACTACTCTTGTCATTACACATTTCTGTAA